AGCGAAAGTCGGACGCTCAACCGACTAAGCCACCCAGGCGCCCCAGTTAACCTTGTTTCTAATTCTGTTCCTCCTATTCTCTGTTAGATCTGCTCCAATCCGGCTGCCCTACCACTCTATAGAAAATGTTCCTTCCAATGACCTCCAGTGTTGCTGAGTCCAATAATTCATTATTTATCCTCATCTTGACCTATCAGCAGATTCTAACATTGCAAACCTTCCCTCTTTGTTGATGCACTTTTCCCCTGAGCTATCATTTACCTGGTTTCCATCCTAAATCATGGGCTGGTCTTCTGACTTTCTTTGCTGGTTCCTTCTCATCTCTCTAGCCTGTTAAAGTGACAGTGCCTCAAGGTGCAGTGCTTGCACATATTTTCTTTTCTGCTACAGTCTTGGTGATCTCATCACGTCCCATGGCTTTAGATAGTACCTCTCTGCCAGTGATTTCTAAATCTGTATCTTCAGCTTGGAATTCTTCTCTGAAGTCGTCTCAAATATCCAGCTGTCATTTTCATATCACTTGGACGTCTACTTGGGCCCTCAAATTTAACATATTATGTGGTGTATATATCCAACAGAATACTACTTGGCAGTGAAAATGAATGAAATCTTGCCATTTGCAACAATGTGGATAGAACTGGAGGGTATTATGCTATGTGAAATAAGTCAGTCAAAGACAGATATCATATGATTTCACTTATATGTGGAATTTGAGAAACATCACAGATGAACATAGGGGAAGGGAAGGAAAACTACGATAAAAACACAGAGGGAAGCAAACCATAAGAGACTCTTAAATACAGAGAACAAGCTGAGGGTTGCCAGAGAAGAAGTGGGTGGGGGGTAGGTTAAATGGGTGATGGGCATTGAGGAGGACACTTTTCCGGGTGAGCACTGGGTGTCATATGTAAGCATATGTAAGAGATGAATCACTGGGTCTTACTCCTGAAGCCAAGACTACACTATATGTTAACCAACTTGAATTTAAAAAAATAACAAAAAACAGAACTCCCCAAATCTCAGTCTCTACCTCCACAGTCCAAACCTGCTTCTCGATGGCTTTTTTAACTTCAGTTAATGGCAGTTCTTTTCAGTTGCTTAAGACAAAGGTCATAGATTTATCTTTGACTCTTCTCTTTCACTGTTCCCCTCTTCCCTCCATCTAACCCAAGAGGAAATCCTAGCAATCTACCGTTAAAAATCACCTCATCACCTCTACCATTACCAACCTAGTCTAAGCCACTGTCAGCTCTCATCTATATCATTGCAATTGCCTTCTCCCTCTCCCAACAGTCTGCACTTAACCATAGCAGCCAAATGGAATCATATCCTGTTCAGAGCTTTCAAATCTCCCCAGCCTATCAGAATAAAATACAAAGTTGTTAAATTACCCATGAGGCCCCAAAATACCCACCCCTTTACCTCTATGACTCTGTATTCTCCCTCATTGCTCACTCCAGCTGGACTCTCCATCCCATCCTTGGAGGCAACCTCCTGCTATGGGGCCTTTGCATTTGCTAGTCTCTGTGCCTGGAACACCCCTCTCCTAGCTGTTTGCTTGGCTTGCACTCTGTCACTCCCCTAGGGTCTTTGTTCAAATGCAGCCCCATTTAAAAGGCAACCCCAAAGCCATTCTTTTTCCCATCCCCCGAATTTTCTTCTCAGCACTTACTGTCAGCTAATATATTGAGGGTTTCATTAATTTATTTCTATTATCTCTCCCCACCCCAATCCCCACCACTAGAATGCAAGCTTCATGAGGGAAGGAAATTTTGTCTCTTTGTTCACTTCTTTGTCCTTAGCACCTAGAACACTGCCCGAGTCCTGTCAACCCCACCACCAAAATATTTTTTGTCCTAATGAATTTCTACTAAATAATCTGGTTATTTTTTTTCCACTCTGTTTTAGAGTCTAACAAGTTATGACGTCTGTAGCATACTTCTTGGGACGTCCACCATGCTTGTGTGGCTTGGCGTCATTCGATACCTCGGTTTCTTTCAGAAGTACAATGTAAGGATTCCATGGATCTCCATGCTGTTGGTATTTCTATCTTTCAGAGTTATTGCACTGCTTTGGCTGAGGGACAAGGGGATTCTAATGGCCTCTCTTACTTTCCTAGCTCCTTATTCTGACCCTTCAGGCAGCACTGCCCAATGTCATCAGGTTCTGTTGCTGTGCCGCTATGATTTATTTAGGCTATTGCTTCTGTGGATGGATTGTGCTGGGGCCTTACCATGATAAGGTACCAATAAACAACTTTTTCCTGTTACTGTTAAGCTCTAAAATCGTGCCAGTTATCCTTTTAAAATGAGCTCCTTCTATTTTGTGACTCAGCCTGAAAATGTCAAAGGTGGTATATCTAAGTGCTATGTTTGTAAACGGGTAAGGTGTGACTGACCTGAAAGAATAATTGATTCACTCAGCTACCACACCTCCTGTTGTGGAATATATCAGATAATTATGTGGTTCTTTTTTTTTCTTTTTAGCACTATTAGGTCATGATAAGTCAATTTGATTTATCACTATATATTAGAGTAAACTTATTAGGCAAGACTAGAGTAAGCTCTTTAGGCAAGACTTTTGGAAATGTGATTTTATTAAAAATGTAGTATAGGGAGGAACTTGAAGAAATATATGAATTTTTTGTTACCAGAGTTGCTCTTAATTATAACACCATTATCCTAAATGGAATGAACTTTAAAATGAGAAGTATGAATGTGTATGGTTGGGACTTGGGTGTCTCTGCATAAGTGTTTCTAGGATCTCTTTCCATGTCGGTAGAGGGAATGGTAAGACTTGACTCAGAAAAGCATTGAGGGTGTAGACCAGCAGCTTCAATTCAGGCTGCTCCCATTAAGGGGAACATGAAGAAGGTGCTGCTTGTCCTGGGAAAAACAGTAGGCATTATACAGGTTTCGTGTATCACATAGCAAATGCTTGTAGTTAACTGCAGATTCACTACATAGTTTGCAAGGGTAACTTGGGATATGTGGTCTGTTAGTTTTAATATAGTGTCATGAACAAAGTCTCCAACAGGAAGGAACATGAAATAAAGTGAACTTTTTCTCTTCTCTTTTTCCAGTTCCGTTCTCTGAACATGGTCTCTGAGTGCCTTTTCTCTCTGATAAATGGAGATGATATGTTTGCCACATTTGCAAAAATGCAACAAAAAAGTTACTTGGTCTGGTTGTTTAGCAGAATTTACCTCTACTCATTTATCAGCCTATTTATATATATGATTTTAAGTCTTTTCATTGCGCTGATCACTGATACATATGAAACAATTAAGGTAGGTTCATCAAGACCCACAAGGAGCAGCATTTTTCCAGAACTTGTAGAATGGCAATGAAATATGGTACCTAAGAGGGAGGAGAACAGCTAGAATGTTAATTTTTTCAAGGTAGAAAAGAAAGGCTTCAGCTTTAGATATTGAGAAACAGAAATGAATTTGAATTTGTAGTATATTTTAGGTTTTGTCTCTAAGTCGTACTTTTTTTCAAACAAGATTTCTAAACTTGTATTAGAATTATAAAGACTAGTAGGCATTGGGTAAGTGAAACATATGGCAATTCAAAATTTGATGGGGACCATTTAAAATCCAATTTTCATAAAGAAAAATTGACCTCTTGGTTTGGAGTATACTGTGACTGACTCTTTGCAAGGACCTGCCTGGGACCATCCCAGGGGCCTGATCTCCAAAAGACTGAAGGGATTGACATGTCAGGTACTAGCCATGTAAGCTTTAGATGTATCAGAAAAGCTGAGTTGAAAAGCTGTTATTTATATTGTCCCTTACATGGGATATTTTAAAATTAGTATCAGCCCTTTGAAATATGGAAAAGTAGGCTAAATATCCATCTATATATTTAAATTTCTGATAACCTTATACTATTAAGTATACCACTGACATAGATACTTCCACTTGGGAGCTTGCTGGGTATGAGAAGGTAATGAAACATGATGTTATAGAAATGGCCCCAGGGATACAGAGAGGGTTAGCAGGAGTTGATGAGTTAATAATTATGAATACCTTGCTGCTGAAGCCAGGGCCACAACTTCATTTTTACTGAATTAGATTTCAGGAACTGACTGTCCTCAATACTTGCTTGGCAGATGTGTGTTTAGAGTCACCAAGGCCACTGGGAAAGAGTATAGTTGTACATGTCCAAATCCCTCCCCACTGTGCTCTAAAAATTCACTGCCTTCATCTCTGCATGCAGAGAACTACATGTTATTCAAGGGTGATAGCCACCGTCTCAAAGGTAGTAATATTAATTGACAACTCTTGGTCTGAGACTCACAGTTTAGATGCTTACCTCCTTCCCATGGGCTCAAAGCACCTGTCAGGTGGGCAAGTGATGGCTGATCCTCTCTGGTCAGGATATGCTCTAGAGATCTTAGATCCCGAACAGATGCTAACATAGGACCCTTCGACTTGTCTGAAAGAGACACTCCAAGAGGGTGTCCAGAATGGATTCTTCCTGGAAGGATGGCTCAGACTCAGATTCAGTATGCCTATTTTGGATTGAGCCAGACCCACAAAAGAGAGCCCAGTAGGACACTGCAGAATTCTAGGCCCACTTTCCATTAGCTAAACCTAAGAATGTCTCTAGTGGCTACATCTTCCTGAAAATACTTGAAAGTGACTGAACTATCCCTTTAGAAAGATGCCCTCCCTTGACAAATGATCCATTTTGGATGTGGAATAAAGCTGTTTTCAAGGGACTTATTCATGAGAACATTTTTTTTTTTAATTCTATGTAGCATTACCAACAAGATGGCTTCCCAGAGACTGAACTTCGCACATTTATAGCAGAATGCAAAGATCTACCCAATTCTGGAAAATACAGATTAGAAGACGACCCTCCGGTTTCAATATTCTGCTGTTGTAAAAAGTAGCTATCAGGCTAATCTGTGCTCTAGAGGGATATGTAATATATATCTGAGTTGAGAAACTATGGATATTTTAAGATCAGGTATAGTATGTTTGAAGACTATTACTTTGAGCAAACCAATAGCTCTAATTCATCAAGAACTATTTATATTTTTGAAAGCAATATTTAATGTTGTTTGCAGCTTTATATTGGGGTTTATTTTTTTAAACTAATTCGATGAGAGAAGCCATTGGGTTATTATTTCTTGTTTATTTTGCCTTTGCTTTAGAATATGCTCTCCACCCCCCTCTTTAGCTCTTACACTCTTGCTTCCAGCTATTTTGACTGGATTGATTGTGTCATCAGTGGAGAACAATGCCTGCTCTGACTTCATAAAACTCACTAACTCTGCTCTTGACCACTCTGGGGTTCATCTGTGAGAGAGAGGGGAGGTGGTTGATATATATCAGTAATTACTTTTATTTTATTTTATTATTTTATTTTATTTTATTTTATTTTTTTATCAGAGAGAGAGCACGAGAGTGAGGGAGCATGGGGGAGAAGGGCAGAGGCAGAGAAAGTAAGAATCTTAAGCAGGCTCCATGCTCAGTGTGGGGCTTGACTTGGGGCTTAACTGTGGGGCTTGATGTGGGACTCAATCCCTGGGATCCTGACCTGAACCAAAATCAAGAGTCAGTAGCTCAACCAACTGAGCCACCCAGGCATCCCTAATCATTGCATTTTAAATTCTCTTGGGGTGCATGGGTCGCTCAGTAAGTTAAGCGTCTGACTCTGGATTTTGACTCAGGTCATGATCTCACAGTCTGTGAGTTCAAGCCCTATCTCAGGCTCTCTGCAGTTAGCGAAGTGCCCTCTTTAAGGATCCTCTGTCCTCTTAAGAGTCTCTGCCCCTCCCCTACTAGTGTGTGCATGTGCACATGCTCTCTCAAAAATAAACATTGAAGTACTTTAAAAAAAGCAAACCTTAAAAAAAAAACAATTTGCTCATAACTTAAAAATAAGTAGAAAATGTGTGCCTTAAAAGACAAAGAACAAACTCTCCTTTCCTTGGATACTGCTGATTGGAATTTCAGGGATTTTTACAACATGTATCTTTGTTTTGTGCACTATTTATTCAAATAGAAATGAATTTAATGATGTGCAATAAAGGTTTTCTCAAAACAAACTTTTTTTGGTAAAGAAAACGGATTTGTTAATTTTTAATTTTGTGTCAGGGGCTAAATGAAGATAGCCTTGAGACACTGAAGTCTTATTATTTAACATAATGAGGTTTATAATAATGACTCCAGGTGTTGAAATTTGAGGTTTTATAATGAGTATAAGCAATTCTTGCTGTACTTATGGCTTTTAAGAAATGGAAAATCTAAGTCTCTGGATCCCCTGGTGTTTCATTTGCACATTAAAATTTGAGATACGTGGAGTCCCCTATTGCCACCATTTCATCCCCTACAGTGTTTGATAGGAATTTACTTACTGTTTATTTTTTAAACCATATGTTTATAAGAAATAATACTGTTATATCGATCCATAACATGTGCATCACCAATTACAGCTATTTATGTACATGTATGTCTTCTCCACTTTTTGAAACGAAGGAAACTTCTCTAGGTCAGGAAACTGATTCAAGGGCAGTGACAGTGAATTAGATCTCTTGTCAGTGTAGCAATGTGGTGAGAGTAAAGATTTTGGAAACTCGAAAGACCTGAGTTGAAATCTTGGATCTACAATAGTTTCTGTGGGTGACCTCAGGGCAGCAACTTAAACCTCTCTGAACCCATTTCCTCATTTCAAAAGCAGCTGACAGTACACAGAGTGCTGAGTGTTCAGGGAGATAACATGCAAATCAACCTTCCTACCTAGTAGGCACACAGGGTTACTCCCGGCCCCTTGAGGCACAGAGCCCTTCCATGTGGTAAATGTTCTTAATAAATGCACTGCTAACAATGAATTTTCTTTTTAATTACCCACTGGTAAGTTATTCAGTAGAAATACTGAAGTTTTAGAAAACGTTAGTATTTTGGGGTAGTTTGCTGGTACAAAAAAAGTTATTCCAGTTTACAGTCCACCTCTGAAGGGATTGTTGTCCCTGGTGGATTCCTGTAATTTTGGAGGTAATAGGGCTGTACTTTCATGGGAAGTATTTCTCTGAATTAAAAAGGCTTGAAAATTCTTTAGCATAAAAATTATGTGTGTACATATATTCTCTATGTATATGTCTGTCCTTTCCATATACTTCCTCCAACACTCTCCAATCAAGCCACCGTCTGCCTTTTTTCAAGGGAGTCACATCCTCCCCACAAGAACAGAGCCATGCCATTTCCTCTCCTTTTCTTACAAAAAGGAACCTAACCATACCACCCTTGCAGCCACGTGCAGGCACTGAACTGTGTAAACGGGATTTTCCAAGCCTGTCTGCAGTCAGTGAGCACCTCGATGAAAGGGACTCTAAAATAAGCATTTTTGCCTTAAAAGCGACTTGCAAAAGAGGATCAACTATGTATGTTTGTTTACACCATTCTGTCCAATTACGTCTACCTGAAGACGCACGTTACAATAATTACTTGGCAAAATATTCTTTGCCTTAGCTAAACCCCGAAACCCTTTAAACACTTGCTGATCCAAATCTGGACGTCGGACTTTCAGTGCTACTGCTGCTTATCACGTAAAAAGAAGGACGAGGACTCCCTGGAAAACAGGCTGTTGGCCAGCTTCAAGCTGAACGTGACATTGGGCAAATGAGGGAGACCCTCACCTCTTAAGATTCGTGCCTGGTTTCCAGCTGGCCGGTTTCCCTTCCTTTCGTGCTGTGGGAGGGAAGCTCAGAGGCCGCAGGCTGCGAGCGCGGGCTGAGAGCCCCGCCTCTCTGACTCTGCCGGGGCCATGGGGCCACGTTCTCCGCGAGCGGGGGCTTCGCTCCAGATCCCCGTTTTTCTTTTCCTTGTGCGTCGGTAGCTCTTCACATCTCCGAAACGTGACTCTTGTCACAGAGTTCTGTGATCATCCACTTCAGAATACAAACGCGCTCCAATGAATGAACTTAACCGAATGAGCTTGCCAGTTTACGTAAGGTCCTAGAGGAAAGGGCCGTGCCTTTCTTATCTCGGTGTCCACAGGACCCAGCACTCGGCTTGGCACTGAGAGTATCCTGAACGCATCAAAATAGAAATGACTACAGAAATGCGCAGAATGGGGCCAGAAAACAAGAGGCAGCGAAACAGGCTGGGGTCGCAGGGGGCGGGAAGTGCGCGGCCCCGCCGCCGGGGGGCAGTGTGGAGGGCGCGCGGCGGCACCCGCGCTCCACGGTCGGGTTCCCTTTAGAAGGCGCTTCTCCCTCGCCGGACCCTCCAGCAGGCAGCCCGCACGCGGAGCGGGCTGGCCGCAGCGCCTGGCACACCCGAGGCTCCAGCGCGGGAGCTTCGGGCCCGCACCCCGGGGCGGCGGCGGCAGGTGCGGCCGTCCCACCCTCGGCTTTCTCCTCCTGCCGCACCGGGGCCGAGTCATGCCTCCCGGCGTGGAGGCGCTGGACCTGCCGGCGTGGAACGGAGCCTCGGGCCTGTCCTGGGGACCCCGCCACAGGTCAGTACCCCTGGGACTCGGCTCCGCCCTCTTGGAGCGCCCTGGGGGCCCTCCTGCATTCCGCGGTCCCTCCCCGGGCTGCTCTCCTCCTGGGGTCTTCGGGCGTCCCCTCCCAGCGCCCCCGCCTGGCTCCGCGACGCTGCCTCCAGCCTCCCGGGCTTCGGGGAGGCCCGCGGGCTGACACGTGGAAGAAGTCCCCCAGGGCCCGAGTTGAGAAGCTCCCCGCCCGCTCCCCAGCTCGCCCTGCCGGCGGGAGGCGACGCGGCGGAGGTGTTGACTCGGGGGCGGGGCGGGAACGCCCGGCCACGCGCCTCGGGGCTCCCGGCGCGCACTTCAGCCGCGCTGTCCCGCGGACACGCCGCCCGAGCGGCGCCCCCGGCCGCTGCGCCCCGCCGTCCGCACCCGGGGTCTGCGGGCCCCGGGAGGCTGCACGCAGGGTAAGGGAAGGCCGCCCGCCTAGACGGGCTCCAACTTAAGGGGAGGCGCGCCCGGGAAGGCGGAGAGGCGCGCGCACCGCACGGGCTCTCCTGCTGGGAATCCCGAAAGCCCAGGAAAGTTTTGGAGGCGGAGGCATGGCCCGGCAGCCGTACCGGGCTCCCCGCGCCGGGACGCGGGCGACGGGAGCAGGTGTTTTCAGGCTAACCGTCAGGTGAGGCGCCTGAGCCGTGTCCTTCAGGACTGTCGGATTCTGGAGGAATTTCATCAAGCGGATGGCTTTACTGTTCTCGACTAGAGCTCTCTTGCTGCCTCGGGCGTGCTTATATTAACTGCCTGCAGTTAGTTAAATAAGGCTGGGCTTTGCCTTCCGGAACAAACAGGCCTTTTCCTCAGGTGGGAGGGTTAGAGTGTGGTTAACCCGAATTCGTCTGCCTTTATGAAAAGGCGTACAGTTCAGCCGGATGGCGCTGCCAAGGGACCCCGCCTCTGTGGTTAGAGCCACAACCACCCAGCTGCGTGGCTGAACCTGGGGGCGGGGGAAGGTGAGTACCAACAGGCCTTCACTCCCCCTCTGGTCACAGAACAAATCCGGTGGTGGGCTGTTAGATTTTCTCAAAATAGCGGGGAGACTCTCCTGCGTTTCCTGCATGGCGTCCTCAGCATTGCCAGCGGACTTGATGCTAGCAAGGAAAGCCAGAATTTAAGAGAATTTACTTGATCTCCTGTGATTGTCCAGATGACTATTTCATTCCAAGCAAGCGTGGTGTATATATGTGTTTTTTAGACCTTTGAAAGGCCAGTTTTGAATTCGAAGACATAACTTTGGTACAACTTTGATGACTGGGTACTTGCAAATGTTATGCTAAAATGACCATCTGTCTTACGTGTCGATTTTTAATGGCGCACATGGGCAGAAGTTATACAATTCTCCCACTGCCTTAGCTCTAAAAGCTCTGTCCTAAAAGGTGGGGAGCAAACGGACTCTGGGTTTACTTACTGTCTTCTGTGTGGACTGATAAACAGGCTTAGGCTTACGGTGGGTGTGGTGTATAATCTTTCTGGTTTTTAAAAAATCTTTACTCCAGTATTTTTCTTAGCACATTTCCTTAACAACTTAACCATTTGT